CCATGATGGCACTTATCCCACTCAGAAACGTGAGTCATGAAAACATCAATTATGATGACCATTTCAGTTTCTATGATTTCTGAACATACCCCAGTTGACCTCGATGAGTGGTAAGTTGTATTTTGCACTTAGGTGATCTGTGTTTAAAGTGCTAACCAAGAACCTCCGATCCAACTTGCTGGCTGGGCCCATTCTCGTGTCCGTGATAAGGGTGCTCCAGCCACCTCAAAACCGTTGCTTTCGAGGGATTTTTCGAACAGTTGTTCATCTGGTTATAGTTCGGCATCCCAGTCTGCTCCACCTACCTGTAACGCTGAGCGAGTAAGTCGGAAGAAATAACTATACCTATAAACAACAGGTGCTCAACTTCGCCTTTGGATGGGCACCTTCAACAAACCCGGTCTTCTCTAATCAGTCTCAGTTAACACTCGGAAGAAAGCCTGACGGGTTTGGCTCAAGCCCTCCAACACTTAGACGTACTCAATCCTGCTATAGTCGCGGATGGCTGTCCAAGCGCCATCGTGCACAGAACTGGCCTCGCATCTCTGGAATAATGAAATCGTTCTCCGGGTCTATGTCCCCTCATATTGCGGATACGAACTCATGTCCGGCAGCACTGACCAGCGGAATCCAGTCAGGTGTTCAATACCCGGAGCCCCCTAAGAGATTGTCCCTGCCTCCTCTAGGCGAACGGTTTTCACCCGTACCCGACACCAGTCCCTCACATGCTCCCACTGGGTTTGACAAGTTCAACTTTTCGCGCACCAGTGCAGAGGGTGATGGGCATTTGGATGTATCCCTTGATTGTTCGGGTCTGCCTCAAGCAAAAAAGCTACGGATGGATAATGAAGCTTCGGCGTTCCCAATTGCACCGGCTGACTCCTCTCGTGAGGACAAAGTCGATGTTGACAACACTTTGCCATTAGATGATTCTAGATGTGACGCAATGCATAACTCATCGGAGCACGTAAAGTCTGGTGCTGGCAAAGCGAAAGTGCCTTTCGAGGTGTTTCGTCACCATTCAACCCCGTTGGTTTCTGCGCGGCCACTACATCTTCCCTTCGTTTGTCAATTGGTATCGTCGCCAACGCCTCAGATACCGCTGGCGAACAAACCACTTCTTTCCAGGAGCAGTTCCGTCCCTGTATCTACTATTTCTGAAAAGGTGAGTGCCATATCTCAGTATATCACACACTCGCGTTCTTTGAAGCAGTGTATAAGTATCCCAGTTTTGTGTTATCCGGGCGCCTGCAGTCCGTGGGTCGAAATTAGTTCCGTTTGAAGGTACTTCATAGGGGTTGGTCTCTTGCTGTACTGGATTCGGCCTAAGAAATATTCCGATACGG